GAAAGTGAAGATGAAGAAAAATATCCTACCGTTTTTGCCATTTCTCATAGGTAAGTTAAGATAATTAACATTATAAAAGAATAACCTAGTTGTTAATAACTAACTAAATTGGGTAAATCTTATTATAGAGAAACGTTCGAATCTCCAAATACTTGGTTTCATATTGATGGTGGTGATACAGTGCCTAGATCTCGCACGCACGCTAATTCAAATGCTCATAAAAGAAAGCTTGACGACTCTGATATTGATCCTCAGGAAGAGTCTTCTCGTAAAAGACCTGCTGTTATTGAAAATGAGGTTATCGTTCAAGACGATGATCTTATAATGACTGAAGATGGTCCTCAAAGGCTCATTGTCATTGATTAGATTTATACTATGATTTTACGTAAAATAAAATCGGTCTGATTGCTACGATAACAAGCTTGTCAAATAATTTGCGTACAATTTATAAATAATTTGATGAATCACGTTAAAATGGGCAATAATGTATTCTGTATTTTATTATTACCTTGATTTTAATTTTTCCATCAAATTAACATCTAGGTTGGTGCTCCATAATGGCTGGAATTAGGATCCGGGTCAGAGTTATTTTTGTTAATAATAACGATAATGTTATTATCGCTATTTTATCATGCAAAATAAATAAGGAATTTTCTTGGTAAAAATTTAAAACGCGTTAAGCAGGTATGGGTTAATTTAATTAATTGCAGCTTTAATCGTGGCAACTCAAATTTCTCATAATACAGTATTATATCTAAGCTTCTTGATTTAATGCTATCTATTCTATTTCGATTCTCGTTAAACACTTTATCATTGTTAATAGACAATCCAAATTTCTTAAATAGAAACAGTTCGAGATATAACAAAAATTAGAGTTCAGCTTTCTTAGCATAAAGAAAAATTATGAATGTGCGAACGAAAAAAGCAAACAAAAATTGTTTTTATGTAATACATTAGAATTAAAATTCGTTCTTGATTCATTATTTATTTTACTTTATCGATTGTTTTTGTTTAGTGCAAATGATTTGGTAGATTAATCAAGTGAGGCCAAAGCGTATCGTAGTGCGAACATTATTTTTGTCACACTAAAATACACCTATGGTGAATTATGAGTGATAGATGTAATTACAGTCAAACCTCTCCCATAGTCACACTCTTGGAATACGTACAGGAAAGATTATAAAGGAGTAAGCTAACTATAGAGGTCAACCTTATTATATATTTTTTAAAAAAAATTACTTATAAAGAAAATGTGCTTATATAGAAGGTGACTATAAAGAGATA